TGACATTGATGTTGGTTGTATGGGTGTCAATTGATACGAGTAAGAAAACCCCACAGAGATCAATAGAAACCAGTAAAAGTCAGTAGAGACCATCAAAATTTCTATAGATACTAGTAGAAAGTTTTACTGGTTTCTATGGGTCATTTTGAAACCAGTAAGAAAAACACACAGAGACCAATAGAAACCAGTAAAAGTCAATAGAAACCCATAAAAAGTTTTACTGGTTTCTATGGGGCATTTTTAGCATGGTACTGATTGTGTTCTGTGATACTAATAAGAGCTGTGCAAATACTTTTATAAAAAGTTTCAGAACTGTAAATTGTTCAAAACTTTTGGGAAAAATAAATTTTATCAAGTCATCATCGATTCTGTATGAATTCAACCCATTACATGGCCGTACGCAAGTAAGAATATCATTGCGCGTGTTGCGGTAGGTATCTCAGCAAGGTTTGTGCTAGGTATCTCACCATAATTGCTTTGAGAAGTCTCTAATTGTCACCATTCTGCTTCTGTATCGGGTTACGAGTTTTAATTAATAATTTCCTAAAATGAAAATGCAATAAATACCTAAAACTGTCAGGTCACTCCGCACTCTGGCGTTACAAAAGGAACATAATATTTCGCTCGAAAAACTTGTGTCCCCCATTACCCGTCAGAGGAAAGGAGATTAAAAACTTGTTTCACTATGTCATACTCTGAGAGCCTAGACTCGCAGTACAATAAGTGCCCCTGGAGAAGACCAAGTGAGTAAGACTTGCGAGTGAATAGTGTTGGTTCGAGATCAGAGCTCTGATTATGGTAAGCAGTGTGGCTGCAAGGGTGTTTATGCGGCTTATGCCATGTGTAATATGAATAGGAATCATTTGCTTTCTGTCGTTATCTTATAACAGGTAGCCCTCGCATGCTTTGCCTTAGTTTATTAAACAAAATTTTGACACAGAACTTCATCGCGTAGGTCTAAAACTGAAAAATCCATAACATCATTTCCTTTTGAAGTAATATAGTGTAGAAATATAGAGTACCACCACGTTAAAACATTTTTAGACAGTTTAGACCATTCTTTTAGATCGCATTCACATTTCTTTATTCTTACTTAAAAACAATTGGAATAATTTGAGAAGGCTTCCTGACTGAGATATTAAAAGAAGTGACTGAGGTATTAAGAGAAGGTACTGAGATATTAAAAGAAGGGACTGTATTAAAAGAAGGTACTGAGATATTAAAAGAAGTGACTGAGGTATTAAAAGAAGGTACTGAGCTATTAAAAGAAGTGACTGAGGTATTAAAAGAAGGTACTGAGATATTAAAAGAAATGACTAAGATATTAAAAGACGTTTTGTGACTTTTGCCTTTCCTCTGTAGATCGAAAATATGGGAAAACATCATATTAATTAATGAATACTACCTAATATAACGACACAAATTAATGAATGCTGTCCAGTTAATCTGGGCGATATAGTGGTCAGCGAAATCTGACTACCTTCTGGACCCAAGAATATAGGTTCGACTCCCGTAGTCTTAATAGTATGTGTGTTTTTCCTCCTCGTAGTAAGCGCAATACCGGTCTCTCCATTTGACCCAACGCAGAGGTCTTGGTGATGATATGGCTAAACGATAGATGACAGCCACAACTCCCAAACAGTGTTTAACCAGCAAGTAAGCGAATTCAGACAGGAAAATAACTCTTGAAGTATATGATTGGCGGTCCTAAAATATCTTAATGAAAAGCCGTCGATAAGCAGCGGTGATGTTGTATATCTGGTGTGAATTGACAGCAGTACCTGTAACTGAGGAAAATGTGCTGCACTTATATAAAATCGGTCTACGTAAGTTGCAACTAATCCTCATGCTTAAACAAAGGTCAAAGCCATATGAAGATAGAATTGTCACAAACAATACCTATGCTGCCACAGCTACACAAAACCTGGGACCATCTCCAAACATATTCAGCCGTGCTAAGCAGATTTTACGAAACTTAACACACTTGTAAACTTCGTCAAGAGTGCAATTATTCACGAACTGGCCAGATTACTCAAGGCAAGCCCAGTGCATGCTAATACTGAATCCAGCGAAGATCCAAACCCCTTGCAAAGTATGATTCAAATAACAGTAGTTCTAGTCTTACACTGGTTCTTTGGAATGCAGCTAATATGATAATAAAAGTCGAGGAATTCCACCAGTTCAATCTTGACTATAACGGTGATATCTGTCTCATCACCGAGACGCATCCGACACTTAAATTAGAGGCTGAATCTCTCTAATTTTAGGTTTTACAGGTGCGACAGATGCCTTCAGCCCTTATCTTATCCCTACCCTTCATGTTCTTAAGATAACATGACTGGCTACGAAAGCACAGTGGTATTTGTCAATTTTCAACTCAATGGCCAGATAACAGTTTACTCTTAATGCGCAGGTTACTCTCAATGATATGATTTCAGAATCTATGTCTATTATACTAAGCGGTGACATAAACATCAGAAATACTGAATGGGGTTGTAGGACTCCGTATACTAATAAGAAAATACTATATAACTACATTTGCACTTACACTATCGTAGTCTTGTCTGCCCACGGGCACTACATGGTTAGATATCGAAGGTTGTCCTTGGGGGTTTGGATCCCCTTGGTCAACACTGGGGAACGGTCGATGTCTTTACCATGACTTTGTTCTCTTTGTGGTAGATGCGCAGCCGTTCACCTTTGACACTTGTACTTAACCCAGACTTTGTAAACAAAATTTTTCCCCTGAGTTGACCGGGAAGATTAGTCCTCCACCGACGACCTCTAGGAGTTGGGGCGTTTAACTGTGTATGACAGCTTCTAGCTTGTCGGTCTGGGTGCCGCTTCCTCCTAGTGTACTCACTGTACTATCCCGGTAAGTCATACATTGGTTGTGCAAGAGGGTTCGGAATCGTCCGGAAAGATAGAATATAGGAATTCTTTATTAATGCACGACAAAGCACCCGTTTATATGACAAAGCACCGTTCATATTCATCCGATTTGGTTCCAAGTGACGTCTTTTATTCTCAAAAATCAAACTTCACCTGATTAGTCAATGCTATCACGACGTAACCGAAATTCAAGCCCCAGTGACACGCAAGCTGAATAACATCCAAACAAGGACTTTTCTAACAGTTTCATATGATTCTACGTATGTTTTGTGCATTGTGCTCAGTTGGCGGGAGAACATATGCTCTTTCGTATAAAACGTAGCTCGTTTTTTTCGTATAGTTACATTTTAGTTTCCGGAGGAAGACGTTTTGCTATTATCTTTAGGAAGATGTCGAACATATCATTTTCCAGCATGTCTTTTCCTCCACAGAAACTGCGCTAGGTAGGACTCGAAGTGATGGCGAGCCGTTCCACGGTACTTTTTTCTTCGCCATTAAACGCATCTCCATTTGCAATCTATGTTTTGCGTGTCTGTGCCATTTTCAGCATCAGCGAAATTATATTTGTAAATACTATACAATATACGCAGAGTGTTCAAGTTCTGTTTTACACCTCTTCCAACAGTCGGAAAAAATTATCGTTCCTTCTTTAATGTTCTGTTTAATTTTGTTCTCATTGTTCCAATCCGCTACAGTTTTGCCGGTCATCTGTAGTTGCTTTTTGCAGAACTTGACCAAGGTTTAGTTTTTCACACCAACAATATATGAAACGTAAATCTGTTTTGAATATTATTCGACTTCCTTCAAACCATCTTCATACACGCATGCTGTGTTATACTTTTTTTTTAAGGATGTTACACTTCCAAAAAAATGCGATTAATGCATAGCTTGATTAGGTGCGAAAATTCGGATTCTCGATTTTCCGGTAGTATGCCGTAATTCTGAAAATAGCGAACTGTCTCTACTTCATTTCGAAGTAAGCTCCAGAGATCTATACGAATCAAAATTAACGTACAAATTTTCTTTGACTTAATTTAAACGAATAGATAAACAGCTGTGTAATCAAACCACGTGGCAAACACGAAATGTTCGGAATAGCATAGGTTGCCATAAATTATGATATATTAGGCGATTAATCGGTGGTGTCCTTTTAATATTAAAGAATCAGAATATATAGAACACCTGAAACATTAAAACTTTCGTCTTACGTTTTGTTTAGTTTTCGTTAATCCATTCTCGCAACTTTAATAACAGCGATGGAGCAAGATATATGTCCGTCAAGCTAAATTAAAGTATTGACTAAGTCATAATTTCATAATGGATTTTATTCTACTGAACGTTCTCAGCAGTGACAATCTTTACATCAGCTGAACACAACTAACTGATAAACTTGTGAAAATTTTTTAAACTGTTAAAAACTTTAAATTACGAAGTACAGCAGTACAATATAGAATAACAGTCCCGTTATAATAAAGCAGCCATAAGCACTACTTAAAAACATTTCTTTTTACATGCTTACTTTTATGTCCTGTGTTATGTGTATGTATGTATTGTAAGTCTATGTTGTATGTGTATATTGTTAAGTTATTTACAGTTTTATGATGTATGTTCATATGCTATATTTTAGAATTTTATGTGAATGCCGGGGATGCCACTGTACAACGAGAGCCATTAAAACCAATGTAAAAAAACAATAGCTTTTGAAGATCTTGTGTTTAAAATATATAAACTCCCAGGGTGGCTCCCTTGTTGCTCCTGGGAGCTGTTGCTCTGGATTGGAGAGGGCGTGGGACATACACATTTTTACCAATGTTAGTCATCAGGTGTCCCCGCCTTTCGTCACCAATCTCACAACTCTGAACAGACTGAGTGTGGTAATCCTGGATGATGCCACTATCTATTTAGTCTACATAGATTACGGTAATGCCATCTAATAGCCAAATTCAAATATTACGTGACATGATTTTTCCGCGAAATTTTTTAAACTGACGAGTATGCTCTTCCTATATCTAGGTTAAATTTTACTAAGGTGCATCCATAACCGAGATGATTAAAAAATATTAATCAGAAATTATTATAAATGCTAAGTTTAAAAAACAGGAATTTACCTTTACGTGTAGTTTTAATCCTGGCTTACTGCTAACTTCACACAAAAATATGGCTGCTCTTCCCTCGTTAATCACAGCACTTGGAGGTTCAACTGATTTAATTTCAGGAGGAGGACAAGGATCTGAAATTAAAAAGAAATTTGCTTTATTCTCCCATATAACAGATAAAGGGATTATATAACCTGGTACTTCAAAATAAGCTTAGAATTATTAACTAAGAGTGGATTAGGTAATGTCCATGTACTAGAGATAGACTAATAGATGAATATTGTGAAAGGTTAAATAAATGGATATATTTAGACTTGTTGAAAAAAAATAAACAATTTTCTGGTCAATGGTTTGTAATATATTTGTAACATATTTATATTAATTTTATTTATTTTTAGTAATTTAATGATTCTACAAAACCAAAGACACTGGGAATTGTTTTCTTCATCTTTTGTTTTGAATAATGTATTGTGACTGGCGCACCCGGTCAAATGTTACCTAATGTATTAAACAAGGTCAAAGTAACATGTTTTTTCTTATCAAGTTAAAATCATCGAGAGCCTGTTGATGCCTACAGCTAGTTCAGTTGCTAAAGCCTCTCTTCAGCAACTATGGTCCATCAGCGGCTGAGCGATCAAATCACTCAAACACTGGTAGTTCGGTCCGTGGTTCGATTCCCAGCGAAAGGGCTGACTGCAGAGTCGTTTTCTTAGTTTTCCCCGTGTGTAACCTGTATATGAGCCAGTTTGCCTTAAAAAATCTTCCACGAAGACATCTCTCTTCATAGGCAGATAACCTTCGAGTTTATTTTCCACAGTCAAATAAACCACTAAGTTAAATCAAGCTTTTCAGCAACTATGCCTGAAGTCTCCGCTGAAACCAAGTTCTTTAAAATATAATTGAAACGGAGTTATTGTTCCTCTTTCAGATGTCAGAAAATGAAAATGTTGTCAATTCTAAGATTATTCTTGGTGTTTGTATCAATGAATATTCAATTTCTCATACACTTGGCCGACATTTGTGATTTGTAATATGTTCCTGCCTTCTTAATTTCGAGTAAAAATATTTACTCGATCATTTACATTAGATAGTTTCTCATTATTAAGTATCATTCACTGAGGAAATACTGATGAAATGAAACACATTCCTTCATAAAAGACATTCTTTTTTACTTTATTAGGCACTGTTTATTTACCAACAGTTGCTGGTGATTATATGAAATAAATAATACATTATTTGGAGACATTCATAATAGTCAATATTTAGAGTAGCTTGCATATGAGATAATTTGCAGTATTTACTTCAATACACACAATATTTAAATAAAGCATTGAACCAATTGTTACTAAAATTTACCGATTCGTTAAAAATATATACCTGTGACTTCCAATGTGAAATCCATTGTGTCTTCATCTACTTTATTTCGTGCAATACATTTGTATGTTCCTGTATCAGATTTCTTTAAATCTGTTAGTTTAAGAGTGGAATGCGTTCTATCTTTCGAGAAGTAACTCTCGGTATCTTCTATCAATTGACCATTTTTTAACCAAAATATATGGGGTTTAGGCTTCGCTGTTGCTATGCAATGCAAAGATGTTTGCCCACCGATTTCTTCTATAATCCTCGAAGGTCGTTTGCTAATGACGGGTGGATCTAAAAGCGATGAAGAAAAGAAAGAATCATTTTAGTATTGGGTTTGAATTACTTAAGTACATTTCTAAAACTGAAGTAATAGCTAACGATATACAAAATACTTCATAAGGCCATCATAAGTAACAATTAAGATTAAAAAATTAAATAAACAAGAAATGAAACACATTTTAAATATCAAGACACAAAATACATATAGCTTTAAAGAAAATAATTAAATATAAGGAGTTTTTTTCGTTCAATTTCCTATTTACAAACATGGTGAAAACTGATGCGACACTTTGTTACAAGTTTAATTTCGATTACAAATTTAATCAAGTTTAGAATTTCAGTTTCCTGTAATACATATATTGGCGCTTTCGCAGCTGAGGATGATGGTTCGGTTAGAACCATATAAAGTAGTCCTGTCAAAATTTGCAAACATAACACTGATTTTTGTTGTTTGACTTCTAAATTAATTCCAATAAACAGACATCTGATTTCGCGTATGCAGTGAAAATGTAAGAATTTTTTATTTTGGTGGATTTTCAATAAATATCAACTGGGCGATGATAAAAGTGCATAAATATAAGTTTTAGTATTTTTAAAACTACATGAATTGGAAATCGCGGTAGGAGCAATGCATCAGTCGAAGAAAAGAGTACTTGAAAGATGACAAGATTGAATAACCATTGCTCCGATAAAATATATAGTCCGGAAGCGTTTTAAATAGACCTCGTATTCCCTGAAATATCTCAATTTTTCCGAGAAATTCGGCACATGTTATAGTTAATACGTCGGTTACGTTTTAAATAAGGTCCGTATGTAAACATTTCGTAAATTTAGAGCTTGCGTGAGAACGAGAACCTGCGCAGGTTCTCTGTATTCTTTACGCAAAATCCGATGCCATTTGCATCCACGACATCAGTCTGTAGACTTTATAGTGTGAGATTAGAATGTTTAAAAAATTAGAGACCTCCACTGACTGTGAAATATGGTCAGTCATCGGGTTACTAACAGCAGGCAAAATAAAAGCTGCCGATATTCATCGCTAGATATGTGACAATTGAATGATGATAGTAAAGGGCGAAATTTTGGAGATTTTCCAAAACAAAATATTGAAAATGTCCACGGTGAATAGCGCAGTAGTTGGGCGGGCCATTTGTAAGCACGGATAGTTTGGTGCAAATAGCTGAGACCTAAATTCACGGTTGAAGGAAAATCAGGAGGGAGAGTTGAAAACGGCAGCAAATAACCGTCATCACCAGAGGCAGAATTCTTCAATCATTAGTACCAAAAACGTCCTTGTGCGTTACAACAGATATTCAAACCGACAAGAATATTGCGTAGAAAACAGAAGATGTATGTAAAGTCAGAAAATAAATGATTTTGTGAAACATTTTTAATCGCTTAATCGCTTCGTTTTTGTTGCAAAAGATCCTTTTCACTTAAAAAATAATCCTGGTATTTCAATAATAAGCAAACATACAAGTAATACTTTACATGCTTGAGAGAGAAAAGGAAACACACTACAAGTGCTTATTCCTAGAAACAAAGTGCATTCCTTCTGAAGCAGTGAAAGTAACTACTAATTCGTGGTTGGCAAGTTGGAAAAAGATGACAAGCGGGAAAATATTAGAAAATAGTGTTAAGGAAAATTCTCAAATACAGACCCTTAGTTTTTCAATTGCATAAAACATTAAAATACGTCTTATCGAGATTATATGAGTTTCCATTGAAATAAAAATTATCCTTAAAGTCTAATAAAATGTTCTTTTTAAATCAAAACTACAGTACAGAACTTACATCCAAAATTTCTATTTGCAGCATTTGGATTCAGAGGAGTGTTATTTGTATTCTCTTCTTCAGGATCTAAAATAAATTTTCAAAAATTATTTACATAAGAAACTAAATATAATAAATTGTAAATTTGTTAACTATCTATGAAATTAATACATACCATCAACTATGAGTAGTACGTTGATTCGTGTTGTTCCAAAGCCATTAATGGCATCACATGTAAAAATGCCAGCATGTCCTTTTGTTACTGTCTTAATTGTCAGAAGTCCCTTCCGAGTCATTTTATATCCACTTTCCATATATAAAGACACATTGTTTTTGTACCATTCAATATATGTTTTAGGTTTCATTTCAACAGGACATTTTAATACAGCAGTCTTGTTAACTTCAGCAAAATTGATACTTTCACGATCTGCGATAGTCTTCCTCGGAGGTCCTGTTTCAAGCATAAATAAACAAACAAATTGAAATATGATAAATGTGACATAGAGGCAAGTTAAAATGAATTTGAGGCAACACAATATTTTGCATAAGAAGTTTTGTTTGTTTAATTAACTTATTACGGTAAAGCACGCAAGAAAAGTCTCTGTCTTGGGATAATTCGCGCGAACATTACCGGAATCAATCAAAGTAATAAACCAGACCGAATTTCCAATATTCAGCGTTCTTAAGCGCTTGTTCATTAATGCGCATGCTTTGCTTTGATTTGGCGACACAATTAAAATATTCTACAAATTAAGGCGAATAATATATTACATATATATAAGAAATTTTCTCCTCTCATACCGAAGGCATTTGGTGTGTAAAGGGAAGGACATCGTGCTAGCAATCAGGAGATCCGGAGTTCGAATCCCGGCGAGAACGTGGCAGAGTTTTCGTATTTTTTACTTTTAGGAACCTAATGACTCTACAAGTGGCGCCCGAAATAAGATGTGGTGGACAATAATTCGTTATCACCTGGATTTGCCGAATGGGTCCCCTTTTCCGCCAGTAGCCCGTTAAATAGTGGAGAACGTAAGGAATTTCCTCCTTGCTTACCGCGTGCTTTCATAATGTAATCGGAACCACGTTTGGCCAACAATCAGAAAATAGACTTAAAGAATCTAAAGTTAAAAGTAAATTGGAGTCGAAGCAAGGTTATTCCTCAACAATATTAATAATATCAATCATGTATAAGAGGTTTAACACAATATCAAAAACATATCAAAATTAAAATAAGAATTCATAGTACTACGAACTCTAAAAATAAAAATTAAAATGCAAAAGAATACAAGAAAATAAAAATATAAAAATAGGATTAATTTCCTTTTACTGAAGCTTCAATTCAGAGCTCATCAAGGAAAAATGAATTAAAGGTTCATAGAAGTCGATGAATAGGTTTCGAAAACGTGTTTCGTCCTCCTGGTTCATTTGAGATCAAAAACGAAAAAAGAATCTATTGAATTTTCATTAAAGACATTATAAATTCATATAAACCCGAAAACTCGAATATCAAATGTACCAGAGTTTCCCCTACACGCCTTCAAAACACTTGGAAAGACGAATAAAACGTAACATTGTGCTTAATTGACTACTAAAAAAACCCCACAAAACTTTATATTATGTAAAAGGACTATTAAAAAAATCAAATTGGTCTAAAATCATCATATGCAAATCCGAAATTCAAAAGCAAATAAATATAAAAAGCAAAACAAATATACTTTAAACCAAACTGTCATTTAAACAACACTCAAAAGCTGGGTGGTTCCCGATTATGCTAAACTAAATATGCTTTCATTCCAATTTACTTTTTAACTTTAGATTCTTTAACCCTTTCCAGCACGCTACCTTTCAAAGTCGGAGTTTTGATTAAAAAAAAGGGGTAGGCAGTCTAATTAGGCCTAGAGGAGTTCACAAGTAAAATTTTGTGAAGATAGTACTTATCGTTTTAATTCTGTGGGTGTGCCCACACCAATTGAATAGAGCTTCAAAAAGAGTGCTGAAACGAGCATTGTTGTCAATGAACTGACCAATTAGATGTGGAGAAACAAAGAATACAGACTCTCAGTTGTCCTAGATTATCGGTGAGCCCGGTCTGGGCATACCTAGGGTTCGCCGTTTGATTTTAGGCAAGATTTCAAAGTAAAAATTTAAAACTTTTATAGAATAAAGAGATTAGCATACGGCCAAAAAAATAACATAGAAATTTCTTTTCAAACAATTCCTTTTATACCCTAAAAAATCTGGAAGATTTTTTTGAAAAATGAGGGTCTTTAAAAACTAAACATGGCTAAACTATATGGACTGGTTTGTGTTGAGCTGCCATCTACTATAAATAAAGAAGGTTCAGAGTAACCTATAGTAACCTATAAATCCTTTTTCATTCAATTTTTCTGTGCGAACACAAGGAAATTTTTAGGTGTGTTCCAGACCGGACACACTGTGCTGCAAAGGAGTTAATTCTATTTTCTATTTTGCTTGAATCCTGAAGCTATAGCGCAGGACCGGGTATAAAAAATTTGCTTTTAATTTTGGCCTCTTATTATGTTTCTTTATATGTATAGCGAAATAAATTTAAGATCATACAACATTATATATATATATATACATATCATTTGGTGGTTGGAATCATGACTTTGATTATATACATAATTGATTTTGATTATAAATATATACACATAGTACTGTATCTCATCACATATATTTTCTATAACAGCGTATTTCAGTTCTTTTATTGGGAAATTAAACAATGGTATTTCATCACATCAGGATTATTTAACAATTTGATGCCTAACAAGAAAGGTATTGCCAAACGATGGTACTTTTCCAACATGTGCTTGAATTTCAAGTTACCCACAATACACTAAACCAGATTTAAACAAAACTAGATAAAACCGTAATTTTCAGGAAGGAGAAACACTATTACAAGCAAAAATATTCTATAATTATTTATAAATTATATATACATTAGCAAAAATATATAGACAAGCAAGCAAAAAGAACAAGGGGCTTACAAATTAGAAATTTGACAAATTAATTAAATTTGCTCCACATTTTGGTCAAGCGACATATTTTATTATAACTTTTTTTATCACAACTTACGATGTTTAAGCGAGCGATTATTAATTTGACATAAGTTCATATCCGGCGAATGGGCTGACTGCATGGGCATTTTTGTGGTTTTTCTCTTTATGTGAATACGATATAGCTTCCCTTAAAACACCTATCACGCAGGTATCCCTTTCCTTATGTAGATAGGAGCCCACAAGCGGCCGAGCGGTAAAGTCGCTGAACGCTGGTAGTTCGGTCAGAGGTTCTAATCCCGCAAACGGGCTGGCTGCATGGGCGGTTTCGTGGTTTTCCCCATGTGTAACGTGTATACGAGCCAGTTTCCCTTAGAAAGTTCTCCACGAAGGCATTTCTTCCCTTAGGCAGATAGCCCTCGAGGCTTTGCCATAATTACACACTCACCTTATGTAGATAGGCTCGTGGGCTTTCCTTAAATCGTAAATCCTTCGGCTACCATTTTTGTGTAACATGTGAATAATTTGAGCTGCTCTATCGGTGTAGTGCTGAGTGCTAAATGGGGGCATTTAAATTACACGACGATTAGAAAGTCCTCTCGAGTGGTTTGGTGGTAAGCGGGAGTAAGCCATTAGATCAGTCTCCTGGGGAATTTTCTTCAAAACTGGAACGGAACTAGACAGATTCGTGCTGTAACCTCTACGACGCCCAAGAACCATGCCATCGACAGACGCAGTCTTGCGCTTCTAATCCGATAAAATTCATGGAATCGTTCTAGTATTACTTCCAGACACGTGGGATAAGTTACCAGCAACATAATTAAGTTTATAATTTCATGTGATTGATTTTAGCGGTTTTTGGGCTTTTTCAAATGTAGTTCAGAGTATTAAAATCAATCAGTTATAGTAAATGCAGGAAAAGTAATTCCCGCTCTCATGTATGCCAAATAAAATGTTGGATAGTTTCTATTTACTAATATTGATTTATGTACAGAAAAAAATTGGCAAGGTATTTCTTGTCAATAAAAGTTCTTTTACTTATAAATTTTACAATCGTACTTTATTTGTTTGATCTCCAAATAAGTGTTCAACTGAGATAAGGATGGGTTTTCTACTTCCTCGGCTTTTACAGTTCTTTTTCGGCTAGTTTTTGATCTCGTTTTCGAGTAGAAGAGAAACTTTTGATAAGATTTTTATTTTAACTGCTCTTCAGTAATGCCACAGTGAAAGGTGGCACAGTGGTGGGCACAGTGAATTCTTTCATTTAAGAATCAGTTTTAGATTTATTGTGTAGGAAAAAAAAATACGTAATGTATAAAATTAAAAAATCACATAATCTTGTCCAATTTGGCTTGAAAAATGTCAGCAGGAACTGTTAGGCAAAATTTAAAAAACGTAACTATTTATTGAATTAGAATCAGAATCAATGTTTTATCACTAGCGCGTCAGAACACGCAGCATCACTATTTAGTTTTCTGCTCATTTTCACCTGAACGTAATAATGCAGTCACTGTTCATAATAGCAGAGTAAGAATTATAGCAATAAAACTGAAGTAATCTAGTAGTTCATAGCAGTCTAACTTTTTTACTTCAGGAATTCTATGTGATAAAACTTAGACTAATATCAGTGTCTTCTCCTGATGCACAGGTTTCTACGTTCTAGATTTTAGTCAAACGCATGCTGTGTACGTTTTATACTTTTTAAAAAGAAACAGATTCAAGGCCGTTTAGATATTTTAACTCACTTTAATTTCCACTTGCTACTTAAAATTACTCATTACTTTTATTACTTAAATTATATTGCTACGAGAGGAGGACATTATCAAACTGCAAGCTATTCGTTATCAAATTGTTCTCAAGTCTAACTGCTAAAGTCAGTTTTGTATATATGCTTTGGAAAAAGCAATTATATGATAATGCAAAATTGAACGCATTTAGAAGTATCAATGACAGTTCGAAAAGTAATTATTCGACGTACCGGAAATATGAAAATCAGGGCAGCTGGCTAATTTAACAAGCATTATTTCCTAACGAAATCTTGGATTAGATTGCTATGCCCGTACCCTACAAGTGAGAAGATAAATAAAGTAAGTTTTTTTAAATGATATCTGATTAGCTTTCAAGATAGGTAGAATTAGTTTCCTTGTATCACGTGTCTGCAAAACAGTATCAGAAGCTTTATTGAAAAGATGTATATTAAAATATTCTCAGCAGTGAAACTAATTTCTGACAACGGTTCACAGTTTGTGTGTAATATTTAAAAAACATGTGAGCAAATCTGGCCATAAAATATCTTAAAATGACATCATATAGACCATAGCCTAATATCGAGGAGCGGGTAACTAAACATGCAATTGACCCTTGAATTACGTAGGCTTGAGTTGGTTGGTTTCACTTATATGCGAATGTTTTAGTAAAATATTTGGAGACTTAA